ACATACTAGTAATTCAAGCTTGATGGAAGACAGCTTGGCAATATCCATGAAAATTTTAATACATTTATAGCCTTCAATCAGGCAATTTCACATTTAGGAAATTACCCTCCTATAAGACTCAAACAAAGGCACACAGATAAGGTCATTGCCCCATTGATTATTCCCTTCTGTCGGCCCACTGTCATTCCATGCTTTCATGGCACCATGTTGGTTTAGTTTACCCTTTCTCTCCGGCATTTCTTCTTGGTCTTCACTGGTGCTGCCTCCTCTTCCACCCCTCTGCTGGCCCCACAACTCTGCCCTGTGCCCTCATCACTTCCTTCTAAGCTCTTTCCCCATATAACTTATTTCTGTCTAGTAGCTTTAGGTGCTTTCTAGATGCTCCCAATTTTATTTCTCTAGTCCCTATGTCTCCCCTAAGCTCTAGGTTCATAATCCAATGTCCAGCTTGGCATTCCTTCCTGGCTATTTAACAGGTGTAGCAGATTTAATATATTCAAAATAAAATTCTTCATATCTTGCATGGTCAAGCTCATTTTTGTCCAGTCTTCTCCATCTCAGAAAATTACACTGTCATCCTCCCAGTTGTTTAGGACCCATATCTAGGACTAATCCATTACTTGTCCCCCCTTTTTTTACTGTCCATTTAATCTTTCTTCAAGATGAACATTGTGTTTGAATCTGCTCACTTCTCTTCGTCTCCACTGTTATCATTAGAGTCATTAAATCCCAAGTAGTTGATTTAAAGAGGCTCTTAGATGGTTTCTCTAATTCAGTTCTTCCGTTTTGTGGTTCATTTTCTTGTCAGAGTATTCCTTTAAATCATAAACCAAATCATGCCACTCTCTTCCTTGAGACTTTAAATGGTTTCCCATTGCTTTTAAATTGAAATCTAGACTCTTCCCCACAATGATTTATAACCCTGCCTTTTCCAGTTTCTTCCTTATATGATGCACCTCTTGTTACCAAATTTTCCCCTTGCTCTCTGAACCCCAGTCATGCACCCCAATACCTTCCTCTCTCATGGGTCTTTGTATTTGCTTTTCCCTTTGCTCTGAATGATCTTGCTCTATAGATAGTGACTAATTCTTACCCTTTAAGCTTCTGCTCAAATGTCCCCTACCCAGAAAAGTGTTTCCTGACCTCCCTAATCTAAACAGGCCTCTCCAGTTACTCATTGTCTCATCCCTCTATTTCCTTCATGGCATTTGTCATTAGCTGAGTCATTTAAAATATGTATCTATTTACAATCTGTAATCACTTTATTTCTTTATTTACATATTTTCTTCTTTACTGAAATGCAAGCTGAATGATGGCAAGGTTCTTGTTTGTTTGCCTTATTCATCAGCACCTAATATAGTTGCTAGAAATGGTAGACATACAAAAAATTTTTAAGAAATAAATAAATTGCAACATTATTTGATATATTGAAAACAATATATTATGATATATTGAAAATATATTTTGATATATTATGATATATTGAAAACAATAATGTACTGGTTAAATAAACTAGTCTAGTTATGTAGTAGAGTACTCTGAAAGCATTACAAAGAATGATATCTGAATAAACTAAAGTGAAAAAAAATATATCATACAGCTGAGAAATTCAGAAAGCAATATCCCTAAAAAGAATTGAAATGGATCTAGTGAAAGACATTTTCAGTTATATAGTGTGCACATAGGTGGATTTCTGGGCCTCAAGTGGTGAGTCCAAAGTTTCTCCTGTCATGGATCTCATCTGGGGGTGAATTTCCCCCGGAGATATTTGACAATGACTAAAGACATTCTTGATTTTCACAACTTGGGGGAAGGGAGGAGGTGCTGCTGGCATCTAGTGGGTAGAGATCTGGAATGCTACTAAGCATCCTGAAATACACAGGACAACCCCCCTCCCCTCCCCAACACACACACACAAAAGATTTATTCCGCTGCCAATAGTGCTGAGGTAGAGAAACTCGGTGGGGGATGCAGTGTATCTGTCTGTAACTACCTGATGTCTGCTTGGAGACGTGAGCAACGTGGAGTGGTGGGTCTTCACTTTTGTAAAACTGCCCTCATCCAGCAGCCATTCTTTGTGATAATAACTGACATATTTACTACCAACTATCAGAATAATCAGGATTTCCCCAAGTTTCTCAGCCTGAGTAATTTCCTAATTTTTAGTAGTTTTCTGCGTAGTTCAAACTTAAGACATATTTCTAAAATATTTTAGGAGGCATTTGCTTTGTGACTGCCCTCTGCCTCTCTTCTCTAGTGGATAATTAGAAGGATTTATTCTCTGGAGATGTCAAGTAGGCACCTCTCTCATTACCTCAATTCACTCCAAGAAAAATAAATCAGTATCCACATGAAAGGGCAGGAAGTGTTCAAGGGAGCTGTTTCAATCCAGAAAAAAAATAATCTCTACTGTGTATAATCAGAAAGCTGATGAAGAATTCTTTACTTTCTCAATTTGCAATAACCTTCTTACATCCCCAAAACTGTGTTGAGGCAGAATTTATAACTTGCTCAATTTACAGTACAAAGAAGAGCCTTTACTCACTAGTTGTTTTTTGTTTTTTTCAATCAGTGCAGGTCAAGTTCCAGGGTCATGTGAGGCGGGAGGGGACCATATGTTTCCCAGGACAGGGTGAAGATATCAGTTTGAGTAGAAATAATGTTCTCATCTATCTTTTAGAAGGGCACAATGAGAGACAATCAAGTAAGTGCCAGGGAATAGCATGTTCTTGAGGTTAATGCATGAAGAGAAGAAAAATACTGCAAGAAGGTGGGGAATAAGCCTGGAATGGCGTTTCTTCCAAGTCATGGCTCTTGAGATGAGAGGGGACATTTCCCTGAAAGACCTTCATAATGGTGGGTGTCACACTCCTCCCTATGCTAAGCATGGCCAGGGAAGAGAGAGGGCAAGAAGTTCTCTGAAATGAGATTACCATTAGGGCCCTTGTCTTGGTCATTTCAGGATGTTATAATGTAGTGCCATGGACTGTGTGGCATGTAAACAACAGAACTTGTATCTGTCTGTAACGACCTGATGTCTGCTTGGAGACATGTCAACATGGAGTGGTGGGTCTTCACGTCTGTAAAACTGCCCACATCCAGCAGCCATCCTTTGTGATAGTAACTGACATATTTACTTCCGTCCAAGATCAAGGCAGCAAGGGCTGTTCTGATGAGGGCTTGCTCCTGGATTGCAGACCAGGTTGTACACTGCTGACTTCTCATTGTATTCTCATTTGGCAGAAAAAGAAGGCGAGAGCACTCCTGGTTCTTTTATTTTTTATTTTTATAAAAGCACTAATCCCATTCATGGGGAGCTAGACCCTCATGACCTAATTATCTCCTAAAGACCCTACCTCTAAATACCATCACATAGGGGTTAGGATGTCACAGTGGGATTTCAAGTTTATTGCAGCCTAGCCCAATATTTTGGACCCTAGGTCAGGAGAAAAGGTCTTTTAAAATTTGCTAATACAAGGCAAAATGAGAGAATGACTTCTCTATGTCCATCTCCACAAGGTAACTATTTTATGACCTGCTTTCCCTTTTATGATTGTGGGAAGACCTTGGAGGTGATGAGTACAGGGTGAAGAAGTGTCAGGTCTCAAAGTCCCTTGGGATCAACTCAAGCCCCAAATTCCTCTCAGAAGGTGGGGGAAGCAGTGGGCAGCACACCTTCCTACACATCCTCATTCAGGCATGTCTGACCTCCACCATCTCCAAATAGTGTGGGAAAGTCAGGAGGCACGGGCTGACGGGGTCTAATCTCTTTGACTGAGTGCAGGCTCTGATACCAGACTCCATATTCAGATCCCAGCTCCAACCTTCTGTGCAATCTGGGGGAAGTTACTGCCTCCGTTTCCTTAATGACAATGATCATATTTACCTCTCTGGGATTAGGAAAAGATGAAATGAGTAAGTGCATGTAAAGCACCTATCACAGTGCCTGGCACTTAATAAATGCTCAATAAATATGATTTGCTGCTATGATCACTATTAATAATGCCAATAAGAACAATATATCTGTTCTCCCATGGTGATTATGGTGAATAAGAAGTCAAGTAGGGGAAGATGTCAATTCTACTACAATTCAAATGAGTTCTGGTGATTGAGACCAAGGGAGAATAAGAATAATAGAGAATGGCACGTCCTTTGTCTTAAGAGCTACTAAATACATTCATACTCAGGCAACTTGGTTCACCTCCACCTCCCTGCTGTGCCAGTTCAGTGTCTCCCAAGGGCATCCTGCTCTCCAGGGCCCACACCTCTTCACTGGCTTCCATCTTGAGCCCTTGTCCTCTCTTTTTCATTCTGACTCCACCCCTTCTATGCTAAATCCTACTCTCTTTCTCTAGAATGCCTCTCAAACTTATCTCTGTTCCCTCTCTCTCATTCCAATTAGCTGGCTCTTCTTGTCACACTTGACTGTGCTCCTCTCACCTCAGGCCCCTTTGGTAGAGAAAGGACCTTTGTTCACAGCAGTTATCCCAGCTTTCAGCACACGATCGGTTCTCAACAGCAGTTGGTGGGACGTGGTGCCCATGTATCATACTCGTGAAAACACTGCCTCAGATAATCTAGGATTGTAATTTAACTCTTTACATTTATGCCGTGTCCCCCTACCCAGAATGGAAACTCCTTGAGAAGGAAAATATATTTATTTACGTTTGTCTAATAATATATTACAGTCGCCACCAGTGCCCTGCTCCTCCTTCCTCAGATGTTACCACTGTGTGCACACAGACACAGCTTCCAGATCCAAGATCACATCTCTTTGCCTAAGGACTTTCTTTGGCAGCTGGCACATACTCCGCCAGGTCCCACCATGTAGTTGCACAAGGCAGGCCAGAAATGTCAGAGGATCAATATTCACCACCCAGAGCAGCCCTCAACCAGTAAATGCTGGAATTGGTGTAGAATACCTCCCCCCTTGGTGAGACAAATAAGGTGGATGTTCTGTTAGTTACCAGCAAGATTTAGCTCCAATTACAGGGGATAACTTGATATGGTGAAAGGACAAAGCAGAAACATACTCTCCTCCCTCTCCTCTATCTTGTCTTGTAGGGCTGGGCCCTCAGCCCAAGCCCCCTCCTTTTCTGAGTGACCACAAGAATGTCGGTATTGTCCTAACTCCCCCAACCACCACCTGAGTGGACCAATGAAGCTCCAGGAATGCAGCTAAGGTCCTGATAAGGCTATAGTGGGGGACGGCCCAAGCCTCAGAATGTGCTGGTCACTTCCTGACCTTTGTGCTGTAAGACCCTGTTGAAAAACCCTTACCTAAGTGACCAGTCTCTGTAACCCACGTCACTTACCTAAGCCCACCCAAATGACTAGCCCTATATAACCTTTGTTCTCCGGGGGATCGGGCGCTCGGCTCACTGCTGCGTCGGAAGGAGGCTGGGGGCCAAACCCGGGTTTGAATAAAGAGTCTTTGCTTTTGCATCGGAAAAGGCTCCCTGGTGGTTGATTATTGGGGACCCCGAACTCTGGGCATAACAATGGCACACCTTACCAGTATTGGTTGCTGTCTTAGTCCATGTGGGCTGCTATAAAAAAAATATACAGATTGAGTAGCTTATAAAAAAAACACAGAAATTTATATCTCAGTTTTGGAATCAGGGTCCAAGATCAAGGTGCCCAGCATTGGTCAAGTTCTAGTGAGGGTCCTTTTCACTCTCATAGCCTGAGCCTGTGCATTCATGTGTCTGAACAGGGGAGTGACCTCAGAGGTCTCTTTTATAAGAACACTAATCCCATTCATGACCTAAGTACCTCTCAAAGGCCCTACCTTTTAATACCATCATCTTTGAGGGTTACAATTCCAACATATGAATTGGGGGCAGGAGACATACTCCTTCAGAACATAGCAGCTGCCTACCCTGTCTTGTCTCCTTTACCAGTGTTTTCTAAGTTTACTTTCCAAATAAAGGACCAGCACTGAATCCTTCAAAATCAGGATCTGCTTGTGGGAGGACCCAGACTAAAACAGATATGGAAAAAGTTGTACAAGAATCTTGCTTTCCAGGCCAGTGAGTTAATGGCACCAGGGACTGAGAAAAATAGTTGGAGCTGCTCTTTTGTGAGACAAGAAACTAAAATGTTTGTTCTGAGAAGTCATGGGAGAGGAGAGTGAGTGACACAAAGCTGTTCCCTGGGGCAATGGAAAGAGAAGCCCAGGGCAGATGGAAGACCTGGGGGTAGGGTGGGCGAGACATATCACAGAAATCACCTGTGGGGACAGCTGGACATCTGACATATTCGTATCATTCAGAACCTTTAACTCGGGGCTAAGGCACACATTACCCACTGAATTCTTACTGAATGACTGCATAAATAAATATACTGCTTTATCTTTTGATAGGCACATAGATTAGTAATCAATAATAATCATTTTCTGTACTCTTTGGTTGAAATTGCTTTTGCTTCAAAGTACACCTATTCATATTAATTTATTTCCTCAGTCATTCTACCCCTACGTCAATACACACACACACACACACACTCACAAAATATATAGTCAAACACTCACAGAATTTACTACTGGTGTTGCTCAGAAAAGCCAAGGAAAATAGAACTCATTTAATCATTCAACAAATATTTATAAGTTTTTGCAGACTCAAAGGTGGAAAAATAGGGTTCTTGTCTTCCAAAAGGTCACAGTCTGAATTTTGGTCATTATTCTTTCTCCAACACTCTTCCTTCTGTGTGGACCACTGGTGAGTCATTCCATGGAAATACCTAGGTCTCATTCAGTTTTACTTGATGAGGACAAACTTTCTGCGCCATTTGTATATCTCTAGCCTTTTTTCTTCAAAGAAAACTCTTGAATATCCTTCACAACATCTAGCTCAGGGCTAACACACAGATTAACTACCCACTGAATTCTTACTGAAGTCTTAGAAAAGTCGATGGATAAAATGAAGGGGAGAGGAAGGAAAATAGTAAAGAGGCTTAAGCTGTAAGTTACAAATCTACTGATTCTGACTTTAACCTTCAAAGAGAAAGAAAAATTGTTTCTGGCTTGAAAAGAACAATTATGCACTTTTGCCTGTTTTCAGGCTCAATTCTCCTAGAAGCCCTTAAAAGATAAACCCAAGAATAAATCACCTTGAAAAATAGACTTGGAATCTGAGTGGGGCTGCATTGTTTGCTTTTTGCTCTTCTCTACATGTGATGGGTGTTTAAATAAGCATTATTTGACCATAACAAATTCATCTAATGGACTTACAGGTATAGTTCACTAATGTACCATGATTTTCACCACTATCTATACTAATAAAAGGGTAATATGCTAATTAGACAGGACAAAGCCACGGTGGCGGGGGCTGAGGCAGAGGTGGTTAGGGACAATCAGGCAGGCAGGGGAGAGCAGTTAGGGGTGATCAGGCCAGCAGACAGAGGTGGTTAGGGGCGATCAGTCAGGCAGGCAGAGGTGGTTAGGGGCGATCAGGCAGGCAGGGGAGAGCAGTTAGGGGCGATCAGGTGGTGATCATGCAGGCAGGTGAGTGGTTATGAGCCAGCAGTCCTGGATTGGGAAGAATGTCTGGTTTAATTAGCATATTATGCTTTTGTTATTATCTACACTAATAAAAGAGAAATATGCAAATTGGCATCACTCTGCTACACCCACAAACCACGCCCACCAGCCAATCAGGAGCTAGTATGCAAATTAACCCAACCAAGATGGCGGTGGCTATGGAGCTAGAGTGAGCAGGAGGCTTGGGTTGCCCCCGGCAATGGAGGAAGCCAAGCTTCCCGCCCACCCTGGCCAGCCTTGGCCTCTGCTCAAGGCTACAAAGTTTCAATTATAGAAGATAAATAAATCTCAGATACCTGCTTCCCTTCGCTCAAGGAGGTGCTGAAAAAAAAAAGAAAAAAAAGAGGGGCTGGGAGCTTGGGTCGCCAGGGGCCATGGCCAGCCTGCAAACAGCCATCAGCCCCTCACCCAGGCTGGCCAGGCACCCCAGCAGGCTGGTAGTGGTGGGGGGGCTTTGGGGGTGATAAGGCCAGTGGAGAGGGGCAGTTGTGGGTGAGCAGGCTGGCAGGGGGGGCAGTTGGGGGAAAGCAGGCCAGCAGGGACGGCAGGTGGGAACGAGCAGGCTGGCAGGGGGTGGCAGTTGGGGGCAAGCACACCGGCAGGGGGGGCACAGTTGGGGTGCTTAGGCTGGCTGGGGCAGGCAGTTCGGGGCAAGCAGGCCAGCAGGGGGGGCAGTTGGGGGTGATCAGGCTGGTGGGGGGGTGGTATTTGGGGCAAGCAGGCCAGCAGCAGGGTCAGTTGGGGGCGAGCAGTCTGGCAGACAGAGTGGTTAGGGGCAATCAGGCAGGTGAGCAGTTAGGAGCCAGCAGTCCCAGATTGCGAGAGGGATATCCTATTGCTGGTTTAGGCCCGATCCCTGTAAAACGGCAGTAGGACATCCTTCGAGGGGTCCCAGATTGGAGAGGGTGCAGGCTGGGCTGAGGAAAACCCCCTCCCCCGTGCACAAATTTTGTTCACTGGGCCACTAGTAGATAATAATTAAGAACTATAAGAATCCAGGGAGGCTGGGCTGAGGAACACCCCCTTCCCCGTGCACAAATTTCATGCACTGGGCCATTAGTAGATAATAATTAAGAACTATAAGAATCCAGGGATGGGCACAAATCATTCCTGATTATGGGATTTGTCAAAGATTAATTAATTAATTAATTCAATATTTATTTATGAAACTACTATAAGGATAGTGGAATTGGAGCTGGGCTTCAGCAAAGATATGTAAGAAAAGCTCTAAACATGTGCTGACTACAGGGGTGAGTAAGGTGAAAGGAAGTGAGACAGGGTAGGCTGCAGTTGAGAAGAGCAAGTCCAAAGAATGAAATATGATCAGAGAAGGAAGGTGGAGCCTAGTGACAAAGGGATTTGAAGTAGTGATGTGACAGGGCAATTTTTCTTACTGCATGTGCAGCAAGTAGTAACTTGTGTCTTCAAAGAAACAATTACAGTTTTTATTGACGGAAGTGATTTAATCAGTACAACCTCTAGTCTTCAATGAAAAAAAATCTGACTTTCTCCAATTGAAAGAACAAATTCTTTCCAAGATTTAAGTCAACATCAAGGTGAGAAATCCAGTCACTTTTAACAGCCATGATTAAATGATGAGTTATTCTCTTCAAACATCATAATATATATTAAATGGTGTAACATGATTTTCAGGCATCTTCTATATATAAAGAGCCAATATTTTCAGCCTTCCCATAGGAAACTAAAAGATGCATGGAAAGAGATTTTTTTTTTTAAATAACAGGCCCAGACAAATGCTTTCTTCCTCTGCTTTCTAAGCTAATATAAAATTAATGCAGCTTTGGCGAGGATGGGAAATGTGCTATACACAAGAGGTTAATTAGGTTGAATTGCAGAATCAGATAACTTATTTGACTGTTCATGTTACCCAAACCAGCTTTGCTTGATTATGGCATATCTTAAGGGTGGGAAATACAGCTAAATAAATACTCAAAAATATTTTAGAATTTCTCAGTATTTATTTTTACCTCAAGTTTCCCCTCTGTACAAATCTAAGACCATTAAACTTAGTTAATTATTATCTTTATATCTATGTAAGATTTGTGACTTCAATTACAATATATATTGCTAATTTGTTAAAAGGAAATAACACGAAGCATCATTATTGAAACCAGAGGTTGACAAACTTTTTCTTAAAGGGTTTGATAATAAATATTTTAGACTTGCAGTTACTCAACTCCACTGTTGTAGAGTCAAACAAACAAACAAAAAAAAGCAGCCATAAAAAAAGGAAATAAAGAAAAAGAAAAGAGAAAAAAATGGGCATGGCTGTGCTCTAATAAAACTTTATTTATAAAAACAGGTAACTGTACCAGGTTTGTAATTTGACAATTCCTCATCTAAATGATGTAGCAAATAGGATAATTGTTAAGCATCTTTCAAGCTGAACATCAGTATAAGTTTTCTCATCTCTACTTATAACTAACTACTACTTAGGTTGGGGAGTAGGTACATGGAAATGGAGGGATTGAGGTTATTGTGATAAGCAACTAATATTTTATCAGTAAATATTGTGTACTTCTTTTCAATTTTTTATATTTTAATTCTGAAATATGTTAGACAGGTAGATAAGCAGGACAGTAATGTAGCAGACACCATTTTACTTATCACCCAGATTTTATATGTTTTATATGTGCTCCAGATCACTTTTTAAAGAACTAAAATGTCACAAATATAAGTGCTTATTTCAATTCTATCATTTTTTCTCCATGCCAAGAGCTTAACTCTTCCTTTGTAGACAATCTGTCTTTTCTCTCTGATTACTTCTAAGATTTTCTTGTTGCCTTTGAGGTTCTGAAACTTGTGCCTTTATATCTTTCATCAACCATGAAAAATTTTCAGAGAATATATTTTTTAATGTGATTTCTTCCTCATTCTCTATTCTCCTATTTCAACATAAATTACAGTTTCTATATTTCATATTTCTAATCTCTGTTT